TAATTGTCTTTCTCTGATTGACTTATTTTGCATAATAGCCTCCAGTTCCATTCATGTCAATACATATAGTAGGTATTCATCCTTTCTGATGGCTGAGTAATATTCCATTGCATGTGTGTATATATGTATATACACACATCACATCTTCTTTATCCATTCGTCTGTTGAAGGACATCTCAGCTCTTTCCACAGTTTGGCTATTGCGGACATTGCTGCTATGAACATTGGGGTGCAGGTGCCTCTTCAGATCACTACATTTGTATCTTTGGGGTAAATACCTAGTAGTGCAGTTAACAGCATTGGTTCTTAATGAAAGATTGAGAGAAAAAGATAAGCTTTTGAAACTTTGGAACAATGTGGTGAATAGGTGGAGGTGGTTTTCATTGGCGGGGATAATGTGAAAGAGTTAAGCCGACCCAGAATCATATTGCTACCAGCAATTTCTGGGTTTACAGAGTCAGTGATTGTTTTTGCTCACCATTGTATCCCTAGCAACTAGCACAGTGCCAGGCGCACAACAGACACTCAGTAAGTATTTGTTGAATAAATAAATATTATTTTAGCTTCCTGCCAAAGGATTTGGTATCCAGAAAGGTATTGTGATAATCACTATGTGAATTTCCTCTTAAAAGAAACAAAGGTACTGCTTGTTTTTGTTTCCTTTGAGACTTTAGGCTTGAAAAGTCTCTTTGATATCTAACTCTTAGATATTCTTAGATATCTAACAGTCAGAGGAAAAGTTACCCCAAAGGGGAACATTTTTGTTTGTGCTAAGTGTGGTTGGCCAGCTTTAAAACACACAAAAAGAAGTTACTAAATGAGGAAGTGTTTTTAGTCCACAGCATGAAAACAACATAGGGTAATATAACTTTTGTAAGTAGTATTTTATATACATAGTTGCCTTATTTCCTTATGTCTTTTATAATTAGAAGATAGGCCAATGCAGTAGAAATTATAGCAAGCCATCTAGTGAGAAAGTGATTTTTGCTTATAAAGTCAGTTTTAAGTACAGTTTCTCATCGGGAATGTTGGTAAATTAACATTTTTTGGGGAGGTGGAAATTAGCTCAAAACCAGATCTTTTTTAAAAAGATACCACATACAGTGTATTTAAAGATAAAGAGAAAGTAAATTTCCACCCTTTCAAAAAAGTTTGGTACTTTATCATAAAAAAGTATTAGTAGTACCTGGAGCAGTACTGTCCAATGCAATGTACTGCAATTATGGAAATGTTCTATGTATACCTAGTACCATATAGCAGCCACTTAGCCACAGTGGCTGTTGAACACTTGAAATGTAGCCAATACAACTAACTGAATTTTTTTATCTTTTTTGTTTGTTTGTTTAAGACAATTATCATACAGTAAAATTAACTTCTTTTTGGTATATGGTTCTATGATTTCATTTTCTTAGTTTGGTGAATTTTAACACGTGTATAGATTCATTTAACTACCACCACAGCCGGGACACTAATAGTCCCATCACGTCAAAAAACTCTCCTGTGCTGCCCCTTTATAGTCACTCCTTTCCCACCCCTCATCTGTTCTCCAGATTCCTCTTTAGTTTGAATGTTTACATTTTTATTTTTTTAAAGATATTTATTTATTTGGGAAAGAGAGAGAACACAAGAAGGGGAAGGGCCAGAAGGAGAGGGAGAAACAGAGTCCTCGCTGAGCAAGGAGCCTGATGTGAGGCTTGATCTCAGGACCCTGGGATCATGACCTGAGCCAAAGGCAGATGCTTAACCAACTGAGCCACCCAGGTGCCCTGTTTAAATTTTTTTTTTTAAAAAACATTTTATTTATTTGAGAGAGAGAGAGAGAGTGTGTGCATGAATTGGGGGGAGGGGTAGAGGGATAGAAGCAGACTCCCGGCTGAGCAGGGAGCCCAACCCAATCCCAGGACCCTGAGATCATGACCGAGCTGAAGCGGATGCTTAACCGACTGAGCCACCCAGGTGCCCCGAGTATTAAATTTTTTAAAGTAATTTTCTTAATCAGAAAATCATTGACTTCAGTAGACTCAGAGTTTAAAAGAAAATCTCTTTAGAGATACAAAAACACAAAAGCCTTCATTTTATAGTGACTATATTTTATTGCATCTCTTTGAAAAGTATATGTCTGAACTACATGTAGTTTGGCTATACTGCAGCTTATTCATGAGAAATGTTATGTGGCATACTCCAAGATAACATTTTTAAATTACTTTCCCACTTCTGTTTTGGATCCCTTATGCTAGTGATCTCTTCCATAACTAAGAGCAAGCTGACCAACTAGAATTATCGGTCTTAGAATCTTTTTTGTTCTATGGGTACATTTTAAGATTCCACCAAATATCTAGCCATTGATTACCAAGCTAAAGGAAGAAATAAAAATATTAAGTTCATTAATATAAGTGAAAGATTTCACTATATAACTATTGTAGACAGTTTAAAGTGAGACTTCCTACTCAATTACTTTTTTAAGTAGACTCAACACCCAGTATGGAGCCTAATGCAGGGCCTCAACTCACGACCCTGAGATCAAGGCCTGAGCTGAGATCAAGAGTCGGACACTTAACTGACTGAGCCACCCAGGCGCCCTGATTTTTAATTACTTCTAATTATATTTTGGGATTGCTTTTATTTATGGAACAAAGATTTTCACCAGGAATCTATAGTAATAATAATGCCCATATTTTTAAAAGATTTTGTCAGAGAGAGAGCACAAGCAGGGGGAGTGGCAGAGGGACAGGGAGAAGCAGGCTCCCCACTGAGCAAGGAGCCCGATGCGGGACTTGATCCCAGGACCCTAGGATCATGACCTGAGCAAAGGCAGACACTTAACCGACTGAGCCACCCAGGCATCCCAATAATGGCCATATTTTAACTGCCTTTAGAACATTAATACCCTACCGCCTCTCAAAATCAGTGGGTCTAAAACTAAATTTATCATCTTTCTTTTCCCTCCACTCTAATCTCTTAACTTCCTCCAGTTTTCCTCCTCTATCTCTGATAATAGTTAATGGCAACACCATTTATACATTGGCCCACACTGTAAACATATAAGTCATTCTAATCATCTCCTTTATTATCTATAATGTCCTTACTAGTTCTTGCCCTCCCAAATGTATGTTGGAACTGCCCCTTTTTCTTTAGCCCCAGTGTTCATGCCTTAATTCAGATCTTCTCTGTACCACTGTGCAATTGCAATAGTCTCCTGATTTTCCATCCTGTGTCACTCCATTCTTTTTTTTTTTTTAAAGATTTTATTTATTTATTTGAGAGAGCGAGAATGAGAGAGAGAGAGAGCATATGAGAGGGAGGAGGGTCAGAGGGAGAAGCAGACTCCCTGCTGAGCAGGAAGCCCGATGTGGGACTCGATCCCGGGACTCCAGGATCATGACCTGAGCCGAAGCAAACACCTAAACAACTGAGCCACCCAGGCGCCCCTGTGTCACTCCATTCTACCCCAAATGTCTCCAGAATGATTCTTCTCTAAAATGCTAATGCAATCATGTCATTCCCCTGCTTAACTTTTCCATAGACCCTATTACCAGTACGATAAATTGCAAACCATTATTGGCATAAAAGGGGCCCCATAATAAATCAGTTGCGTAATTCTCTCGCTTATGATCTTTTTTTTAAATTTTTTTTTTAAGATTTTATTTATTTATTTGAGAGAGAATGAGACAGAGAGAGAGCATGAGAGGGGGGAGGGTCAGGGAGAAGCAGACTCCCTGCTGAGCAGGGAGCCCCATGCGGGACTCGATCCCGGGACTCCAGGATCATGACCTGAGCCGAAGGCAGTCGCTTAACCAACTGAGCCACCCAGGCGCCCCTCGCTTATGATCTTTATCTACTTTATCCATTTGTCTGGAATTCCTGCCTCATGCGTCCTTGCTGATTTCTGTTTGTCCTTTTACATTAAGATATTATCTAAGAAGCCTTTTCTGACCCATATTCCCAGGGATGAATCCATGTCTGTTTTCTGTATTTTCTGTTCTAGTATTGCTCCCTGTGACTGTCATGCTCAGCTTTGTGTCTTGAGAATCCTAGTTCCTGGCACATATAATAGGTGCTCAATAAATATTAGTTGTTCAGTGTTTACCTTTAACTCACTGCTATAAAGAACTACTTTCTTACGTATTTACTCATATGATCCTTTTAACAACCCAGCCCTAGAAGAATATAGGACATATTTCCCCATTTTTCAGATGGTAGAATTAATGAGTGTGATTTGTTATTAAGTGGAGAATTTTCAATGGAATGCAAATCTTCTGACTCCCAGCCCAGTAATTGTGTGTTTGTGTATATGTGTTTGTGTGTATGACTACATCATTAATTTTTGTAAGGTGTCAGCCAAAGACATGCATGCAATCATGGTAGTAGTTAAATTATATACAGTAGCTGAGCTTTAGGAATCCAATCATTGTTTTTATCATTGAATCAGGTGAAACAATAAAGATGTTCTTATTTTGAATAAAAGTAATACTAGGCTGTAGTAACTTAGAAGGTTATAGGAATATATGCTACAAAATCCTACAATACTACCTTTAATCATAAACTAGCGTGCTTATATCTTTTCTTCCAAAGTTATCTTAACTGAACATCTTAAAATTTAAACTTCATATCACCTTTTATTTTCTGCAGCTGATCCTGTTTCCTTTATTATCTTTTGAATTGGTAGAGTGTGAAGTATTGAAATAATTTGTGAAAGGAGATAGTAGATTTGTTTGTACTCTGTTGTGAAATTCTAGGGTGTGTTTGTCCATGTGTGTGTTTCAAAAGCCTAATCAGTACTTGAGTCACATACACCTACATATAACTTTATCATTCCTATAAGTACAGAAGACATTTTCTGTTTCTTCCCAAAGAGAATAGTAAAGATGAGACCTAATAGAGAAGCTTCACTTGATTGAATTATTTGTTCCATTCTTCTTGAATGTGGTATGATGATTGCTAATTTCTCAGTTCTAGGTCATGAAATTTAATTAAACTGACTTGAAATTTTCTTCCAAAAGGTTTCACTGGAAGAAAAAAATGCAACTATTATTTATGACCCTAAACTACACACTCCAAAGACCCTACTGGAAGCTATTGATGACATGGGCTTTGATGCTATTCTCCACAATCCTAATCCTCTCCCTGTTTTAACTGAGACTGTGTTTCTGACTGTTGCTGCTTCACTGGCTGTGCCATGGGACCATATCCAAAACACATTACTCAAGACCAAGGGTGTGACAGACATTAAAATTTCCCCTCAGCAAAGAACTGTAGTGGTGACAGTAATCCCTTCTATAGTGAATGCCAATCAGATAATAGAGCTGCTTCCAGATCTCAGTTTAGATACCGGAACTCTGGAGAAAAAGTCAGGAACTTGTGAAGATTACAGTATGGCTCAAGCAGGTGAAGTCATGCTGAAGATGAAAGTAGAAGGGATGACCTGCCATTCATGTACCAGCACCATTGAAGGAAAAATTGGGAAGCTGCAAGGTGTTCAGCGAATTAAAGGTAATATATCTTGTGTTATTTGTTTGTTTTGTGAGCTTAATTTTCCGTTTTGGTCATTGAGGTTTTTGCTTTCTTCTTAAGCATGGGTTTTGAATCCACTGGACTAAAATACGTACTGCTTCATTGAAGTCTGGGGTACGGTGTGTGTATACCCAGAGTGAATGTGGGTAAAATTAATGATTATAATTAAAAGTTACATGGGTCTTAAATAAGCAGAAAAGGCAGCAGGAATGGCATTTCATGGAGTTCAGGGTTTTTATTTTTTTAAAAGATATTATTTTTTTATTTGAGAGAGAGAGAGAAACAACATGAGAGGGGAGAGGGTCAGAGGGAGAAGCAGGCTCCCCACTGAGCTGGGAGCCCAATGTGGGACTCGATCCCAGGACTCTGGGATCATGACCCGAGCTGAAGGCAGTCGCTCAACCAACTAAGCCACCCAGGCACCCCGGAGTTCAGGGTTTTTAATGCAACATGCCTGGGGTCCTCTCTACCTCTAATATATTTCTATTCAGGCATGTGGAGACTTGGAGATCATAGATATAGTGGTCATATTTTTTTAGTTTTTTTCAGTCTGTGTCAATAACATTTTCTGAAAAGAACTGAAATAGCTTAAGAAAGGATACTGACAACAAAGATAGAGAAACAATTATGTGTGGTATTGATTTGGTCTACAGAATGTTTTCTGAAGTGGCCTAGGAATAATTAATATAATATTTCTCTTTTTATTAACTAGTTTCCCTGGACAACCAAGAAGCTACTATTGTTTACCAACCTCATCTTATCACAGTAGAGGAAATAAAAAAGCAGATTGAAGCTGTGGGCTTTCCAGCATTCATCAAAAAACAGCCCAAGTACCTCAAGTTGGGAGCTATTGATATAGAACGCCTAAAGAATACACCAGTCAAATCCTCAGAAGGATCACAGCAAAGGAGTCCATCATATACCAGTGATTCAACAGTCACTTTCACTATAGATGGCATGCATTGTAAATCATGTGTGTTAAATATTGAAAGTGCTTTATCTACACTCCAATATGTAAGCAGCATAGTAGTTTCTTTAGAGAATAGATCTGCCATAGTAAAGTACAATGCAAGCTCAGTCACTCCAGAAACCCTGAGAAAAGCAATAGAGGCTGTGTCACCAGGGCAATATAGAGTTAGTATTACAAGTGAAGTTGAGAGTACCTCAAACTCTCCCTCCGGCTCATCTCTTCAAAATATTCCTTTGAACATAGCTAGCCATCCTCTGACTCAAGAAACTGTGATAAACATTGATGGCATGACTTGTAATTCTTGTGTTCAGTCTATTGAGGGTGTCATATCAAAAAAGGCAGGGGTAAAATCCATACGAGTATCTCTTGCAAATGGCAATGGGACTGTTGAGTATGATCCTCTACTAACCACTCCAGAAACCTTGAGAGAAGCAATAGAAGACATGGGATTTGATGCTGCCTTGTCAGGTAATTATCATTTTTTTCTCAGATTCCCCTAATGTTTTTTATTTCCTATTTTGGATTCTTTGGCTTTCATCAATAATAAATGAGTAATAGGCACTGCAATTCCAGTTTTTGGAAGTAAGTCCTATAGAAGTAGTCAGCAATGTGTACAAAGATGCAGAATGATGTTTGCATAATTATCTGTAATATTTAAAAACTAGTAACATTAAATCATGATACATCCATATGACGAAATGCTATAGAGCCATAATAAATTACAGTACTAAAGATACTTAATACCACAGGAAAGTGTATAAGGTATCTTGTTAAATGAAAAAATAAAAGCTAAAAATCTGTATATTCTGTATGATCAAAATTTTATAAACACATATGTAAGGATTTATACTGTGTAAATGTTGTTCATATATATGAGTGAATAAAATTCCTGGCAGGACATGAACTAAAATTTTAACAGTGGTTATTATATGAGTGGTAGGATAAAGGTGATACTTATTTCCATTGTGCTTGCCTATGTGTTTTGTTTTTTGTGACAAGGATGTATGTGTACATGTATAATGGGAGAAGCAAATGCTGTTTTGACAAGAAAAAAAGGTAGAAATAAATAATAGAATTTTAACTGTAGCTTTAAATTTGGACATTCAAATGAAACTGACTCTAGAACTGCCCCAAAGTCTATTTCCTGCCAGCCCTTACCTTGAACTGAAACCAAAAATGAGTATTCAATGAATTTGCCTATGGGAACTTGTTTTTTTGAACTAGAATTGAACCTAGCCTTGAATTAAACTGGAAATGCCCTAATGAAATTACTTGCTGTAAATAAAACAGAAAAATTGTATAACTAATTTCCAGACAATGTTATTAACTTTTGCTATTCTGATTAGAATGAAAGATATCAAATAGCTCTATTCTTTTTTCGAGCTCACTAAAACTGAAAAGCATAAAAAATTAAACACATGCTCAAATTATTGTGGTAGATAAATGTCAGTGGAAGAGGACCCAGAGACATACTAAATATTCTTAATTTTCATACTCATGACAAATGGCAGAAATTATAGAATTCTCACTTTTTAATATAAAGATGTAGTTTGCATGCCATAAAATTCACTCTTATTTTTAAAATTTTTAAAAAAAATTTGGTTTTATTTTTTAAGAGTTTTTATTTTAAAAAAATTTTTAAACTAGTATTATTTTATTATATGCTACCCCAAGGATGGCAAATGTCAAGATGTCTGTGGGGCCATCTCCCATATCAATTGTATCTAAGTTTCTTTCTTTTTTTTTTATGTTCAGTTAGCCAACATACAGTACATCATTAGTTTTTGATGTAGTGTTCAACGATACATTAGTTGCATATAACACCCAGTGCTCATCACCACAGGTGTCCTTCTTAATACCCATCACCTGGGTACCCCATCCCCCACCCCCTCCCTTCTGTAACCCTCAGTTTAGTTCTTGGAGTCCAGAGCCTCTCATGGTTTGTCTCCCTCTCTGATTTCTTCCTGTTCAGTTTTCCCTCCCTTCCCCTATGGTCTTCTGCGCTATTCCTTATGTTCCACATATGAGTGAAACCATATGATAATTGTTTTTCTCTGCTTGACTTATTTCACTTAGCATAACACCCTCCAGTTTCATCCAGGTTGATACAAATGGTGGGTATTCATCCTTTCTGATGGCTGAGTAATATTCCATTGTATATATGAACCACATCTTCATTCATTCATCCGTTGAAGGGCGTCTTGTCTCCTTCCACAGTTTGGCTATTGTGGACATTGCTGCTATGAAAATTTGCCCTTTTAAAGTATACAATCCAGTGGTTCTTAGTATATTCAGAGTTTTACAGCCGTTATCGCTAATTTTATAACATTTTCATCACCCCCAAAAGAAACCCCATACCCATTAGCAGTCACTCCTCATTTCCCTTCCCTCTCCCTCAGCTCCTGTTATTTACTGTTCTGTATTTTTCTTTATGAATTTGACAACTCTAGGTACCATATAAGTGGAATCATAGAATATTTGTCCTTTTGTGTCTAACTTCTTTCATTTAGTATATTGTTTTCAAGGTAGATAAATGTTCATCTGTGTTTGTAACATATATCAATATTTCATTCCTTTTTATCGCTAAATAGTATTCCATTGTGTGTGTGTGTGTGTGTACATGTATATATATGTGTATATATATGTATATATAATTCTTTTTTAAAATCAAATCTGATATCTGGCATTATTGTAAGCAAGAACCTCACAGACTTTCAGATTGGACCCCCACATTGGAATTTATCCTATTCATTTGGGTCTGTATTTTGGCAGCTTAAAGTATGGTTCACAGATCAGCAGCGGCAGCACCCTCACTGGGAGCTTGTTAGAACTAGACTCTCTGACCCACTGCATACCCATTAAATAAAAATCTACATTTTAATTTTAATAAGCTCTCCAGGTAATTCATATGCACATTAAAGTTTGAGAAGCACTGGTATAAATAATTTGCTGCAGTGACCTCTATAAATAAACTCTCTGAATTAAATCTATTTTAATATGTTTATTTAATGCGGTGATAATATAATAATTTAAAATGGCATTTAAGAGTTTTTATATAACAGATGTGAGCAGAGTAAAAGTAACTTTCCAACAACCTCACATGGCTTCAAAGATAAACTTGAGCAATAGGAGAAATTTTGGCCAGACAAGTAAGAGTACTTGATAGTTTCTAGTACCATGTGTAGCATTTACCTAGTCCTCAGGATCCATGAATGCAACATGTTCAATAACTCTTAACAATGGCTTTTACCTTAACCAACTATTGTCAAGGGCGCCAGGAATTGATTGTTCAACAAATAATTACCAGGAGCCTGTTATGTGCCCTACATCTGTTAGGGTTCATAACAAACACATTAATGGCCATGATGAATAGGTAAAAAACCTTGGCACATTGGACGTCACCATAAAAGAATTGATAGAGTTGTGACTACAGTGACCCATATTATTGGGATAAAAGGTTGATAGCAAAAGATTGCACTCTCTATTTCTGCTAGAGATCATTCAGAGTTTAAGATGCCACCAAAATGGTGGCTACCCATTTTCCGAATATGAGTGTCAATGCTGATCCTGGCCTCACAGCCTATCACCATAACCCCTTCCCAGACAGAGAGGGGCTGGCACAATTTGTCTTTATGACATACTAATCCTAGGTGGGCAGTAAAAGTTAAAGGAGATAGAGAAATATGAGGTGCTTTTTTTTCTTCATTGGTGAATTCTTTTTTTAATTTTATTTTTAAAAAATTTAATTCAGGTGTAGTTAACATACAGTGTTACATTAGTTTCAGGTGTACAATATAGTGATTCAACACTTCCATACATTTCTCGGTGCTCATCACAAGTGCACTCCTTAATCCCCGTCACCTATTTAACCCATCCTCCAAACCCTTCTGGTAACCATCTGTTTATCCTCTATAATTAAGAATCTCTTTGTTAATTTGTTTCTCTCTTTTTGCTCATTTATTTTGTTTGTTAAATTCCACGTATGAGTAAACTCATACAGTATTTGTCTTTCTCTTATTTCCCTAATTATATTCTCTAGCTCCATCCGTGTCATTGCAAATGGCAAGATTTCATTTTTTATGGCTAAATGATATTCCTCTGTGTGTGTGTGTGTGTGTGTGTGTACATGTATATATATGCACTACACTTTCTCTATCCATTCATCAATCGATGGACAGTAGGGCTGCTTCCATAATTTGGCTATTGTAGATAATGCTGCTATAAACATTGGGGTGCGTGTCTCCCTTTGATTTAGTGTTTTTGTATTCTTGGGTAAATACCCAGTAGTGCGATTGCTGGATCAGAGGATAGTTCTATTTTTAACTTTTTGAAGAACCTCCATAATATTTTCCAGAGTGGTTGCTCCAGTTTGCGTTCCCACCAATAGTGCAAGAGGGTTCCTTTTCCTCCACCTCCTTGCCAACACTTGCTGTTTCTTGAGTTTTTGATTTTAGCCATCCTGACAGGTGTGAGGTGATATCTCATTGTAGTTTTGATTTGTATTTCCCTGATGATCACTGATGTCGAGCATCTTTTCATGTGTCTGTTGGCCATCTGTAAGTCTTTGGAGAAATATCTGTTCAGGTCTTCTGCCCATTTTTAAATTGGATTATTTGGGTTTTTTTGTTGTTGAATTTGGTAAGGTCTTTATATATTTTGGATCCTAACCCTTTATTGGATATGTCATTTGGAAATATCTCCTCCCATTCAGTAGGTCGCCTTTTAGTTTTGTTAGTTGTTCCCTTCGCTGTGCAGAAGATTTTTATTTTGATGTAGTTCCAGTAGTTTATTGTTCTCTTGTTTCCTTTGCCTCAGATGGCATATCTAGAAAAAAGTTGCTATGACCAGTGTCAAAGAAGTTACTGCCTGGGTTCTTTTCTAGGGTTTTTGGTTTCAGGTCTCACATTTAGGTCTTCAGTCCACTTTGAATTATTTTTGTGTATGGTATAAGAAAGTGGTCCAGTTTCATTCTTTTGCATGTAGCTGTCCAGTTTTCCCAACAGTATTTGTTGAAGAGACTGTATTTTTTCCATTGCATATTCTTGCTGCCTATGTCAAAGATTATTTGACCATATAATTGTGGGTTTATTTCTGGGCTTTCTGTTTTGTTCTATTGATCTATGTATCTATTTTTGTTCCAGCACCGTACTATTTTGATTACTACAGCTTTGTGATATAACTTGATGTCTGGTATTGTGATACCTCCAGTTTTCTTTTTCTTTTTCAAGATTGCCTTGGCTATTCAGGGTTTTTTGTGTTTCTATACAAATTTTAGGATTGTTTGCTCTAGGTCTGTGAAAAATGCTATTGGTATTTTGGTAGGGATTGCATTAAGTGTGTAGGTTGCTTAGATTAAATGTGTAGTATAGACATTTTAATATTATTTGTTCTTCCAATCCAAGAGCATGCAATGTCTTTCCATTTCTTTGTTTTGTCTTCAGTTTCTTTCATCAGTGTTTTATAGCTTTCAGAGTACAGGTCTTTTATCTATTTGGTTAAGTTTATTCCTAGGTATTTTATTGTTTTTGATGCAATCGTAAATGGAATTGCTTTTTCTTTTTCTGCAGCTTCATTATTGGTGTTTACCTTGATTTTGTATTCTGCAACCTTACTGAATTCATTTATCAGTTCTAGTAGTTTTTTGGTGGACTCTAGGGTTTTCTATATAGTATCATCTCATCTGCAAACAGTGAAAGTTTTATTTCTTCCTTGCCATTTGGATGCCTTTTATTTCTTTTTGTTGTCTGATTGCTGTGGCTAGGACTTTCAGTACAGACATCCATGTCTTGTTCCTGATCTTAGGGGAAAACTCTGTTTTTCACCATAGAGTATGATGTTAGCTGTGGGTTTTTCATATAAAGCATTTATAATGTTGAGGTATGTTCCCTCTAAGACCTCCTTTTAGAGGGTTTTTATAATGAATGGATGTTGTAATTTGTCATGCTTTTTCTGCACCTATTGAAATGATATGTTTTTTTCTTTCTTTCTTTCTTTTTTTTTTTGTTGATGTGATGTATCATGTTGATTGATTTACAAATACTGAACCACCCTTGCATGGGAGGTACTTTTTATCATGACCGTCAATCTCATCATTCTCTTAAAAAGATATATAATATATGAAGTTAAGTCTTCAGTAACCAATTAAGAAAAAACTCAAATTCTTTTCCTTTTTTGTAACTTTATTTTTAATTTCAAACTTATAGAAAAGCTGCAAGAGTAATACAAAGAATTCCTGTTTACCAGTTTCTCTCAGATTCCCTCATTTTTAGTATTTTACCACATTTGCCTTATCATTCTCTCTGTTGACAGACATACACACACAGATGCACACACACTAACTTTTTCTGATTCATTTGAGAGTACGTTGCAGAAATGATGTTTTTGATTCTTTTTAATCCATTTTATGATTATGTATTTACTCTTCATATTACTTCAGACACCGAACCCACCAGTTTTGAGGATGAGATCGGAAACCCTTTCTTGAAATTTTTGGAATCTTTTCTGATTGTTGCCTCAAGTGCAGGAAAGTCAACCTTCCTTCCTTTTGAATTCACTTAAGCATAGGTAGTGTTGCTACAGCCTATAGAAAATCTACTTGAAGAAAAGTAGTCATTTAATTCAGTGTGGTGGCTTAACAGCTGCACTGCTTCTGTGGAAGATGGAAGCTTTTGCTCTTCTGGTTGCCACACTCGCTGGCGTAAAGAACACAATTTTATGGATCTTTGTTGAGAGGTCATGCTAAGGTAGCTAAAAGGGACTACCTCTATGACTTATTTTAATTTACTACTGAACTTCCGGAGTGTGAAAATTGCAGATTGTATTATGGGTTATCTCTGGTACCTCAAATCACTGAATACTAGAACAGGACATCAAGTAATTAGCAGTATAAACTTTTTTTCAGTGTCTAATTTCCGAATTAAGTCTTGATAATAATTATGAGAGAAAGAAGTAAGCTCCTGGATGGATTTAAATATTGTATGTTTTCTTTTTTTTTTTAAGATTTTATTTATTTATTTATTTGAGAGAATGAGAAAGAGAGCAAGAGAGCATGAGAAGGGGGAGGGTCAGAGGGAGAAGCAGACCCCAGCCGAGCAGGGAGCCCCATGCGGGACTCGATCCTGGGACTCGATCCTGGGACTCCAGGATCATGACCCAAGCCGAAGGCAGTCGCCTAACCAACTGAGCCACCCAGGCGCCCATAAATAATGTATTTTTTCAAAGCCACAGCTATTTCCTTTGGGCAAATGAGCTTCCTTTTTGAATTCTTTAAGATAACAGTAGTATTTGGTAAATTTTACCATCTATTTCCTAATAATGCTCTCATAATCTGAATGAAGAAGTATAGTTTTCTAAATTGCTTTTCTTAAGATCAGAGACTGACTGATTTTGGAATTGGGAGTATCTAGTCAATTGTGATCAGTGTCTTTTGCTGTAACCCAGATTGGCTATAGTGCCATCACCTGGAAGAGTGGTGGAAATGCAGAATCTCAGGCCCCATCCTAAATGTCCTGAACCATAATCTGCATTTCAACAAAATCCCTCAGGTTGTTGTATGTGCATTAAAATTTAAGAGCTATTATACTGATTTGGGAAGTCTAGGTCATTATTTATGAGTTAAATGGTCAGGCTTTTGTTAAAGTTTCTACAAAAGATGCCCTCTCTAGCATCCTGAAAACCAGCTCTGATGCAGGGATTCCTCTATGGGTTAGCCAAATAGACCTGAACCAGTTTTAACAAGTTAGGTGCCTGAAAATTTCCACATCACCTCTTCACCTCCTTATCTCTGCAGGAGAGTATAAAATCTTTAGCTTTGCAAGTGCATGGATGTGCTAGAGAGGATAACTTCTCCCTTCTTGGAGGTGATTAATACTGCAGTGGATAAACTAAAACAGAATGGCAGATTTTCTGAGACTGCAGGGGAACTTCTGGATGATAGGAGATTCCCATTGTTCCACAGTGCATAAACATTCTCTGGAGAAATTTTCCAAATATCCCTTTTATTATTTTATTTTATTTTATTTTTTTAGAGTGTGTGCCCATGCACACGCGGCGGTGGGGAGGGGCAGAGGTAGAGGCGGAAGGAGAATCTTAAGCAGGTTGCAAACCCAGCACAGAGCCTGACATGGGGCTCAATCTCACGACCCTGAGATCATGACCTGAGCCAAAATCAAGAGTCAGACCCTTAACCGACTGAGCCACCCAGGCACCCCCCAAATATTCCTTTGTACAGAACAAAGATTACTGCTGACTTACTCCTTACCTTTTCTTCCATTATCCACAAAGACATTTTAATGTAAAAAAATACTATATATTAGTGTTTAAAATTCAAACAATACAGAAGTGTCTATAGAGAAAATGTGTTCATCTGTTTGTCGTTCTATTCCTGCCTTAACCCCATTCCTCAGAAATAGCCACCATTAATATTTTGACTTTCTCATACATGGTCTCATATATACATATACACAATTTTTAAAATTTATATATATATATTTTTTAGATTTTATTTGAGAGAGAGTGCATGGGAGAGAGAGTGTGAGAGAGAGAGAGACAGAGAGCGCAAGTGGGGGGTGGGCAGAGGGAGAGGAAGAAGCGGGCTCCTCACTGAGCAGAGAGCCCGACACGGGGCTCGATCCTAGGACCCCGGGATCGTGACCTGAGCCGAAGGCAGATGCTTAACCGACAGCCACCCAGGCACCCTTACACAAAAAATTTTTAAATGACATCATACTGCAATGCTGTTTTATAAATTGATTTCTGTTCTCTTTACTATATCATGAATTGGTTTAATGCCAGTATGCAAATCATTAACATAATGATAAAAATTCATTATAAAAATAAGAGTTATCCATCAACAAACTATTCTCTACCTGGGGTTTGCAATAGAGAAAATAACTAGAAGAACTTGGTATAACCAAAGTTTTGTTTATTCAGTTAGTTCAGATTTTCCAGAGAACTGGGATGGGCAGCATTGAAATTTGAAGTCACTTTCTGGAAAGTGTAAAAAAGCAGTGCCGAGAGCTCTAGGTCCATGCTGGTTTTAAAGGAATGGATTGACAGTACCTGGAGGTGTGGATTGTGATGAATGGCAAGGATGCAGCTGAAGAATACCTCAAATGAAAAGACTCTTTCCCTGTCCACCAGATACAAATGAGCCATTTGTAATAATAGCTCAGACATCATCGGAAATGCCGCTTTTGACTTCAACTAATGAATTTTATACTAAAATGATGACACCAATTCACGACGTGGAGGCAAAGACTTCATCTAAGTGTTACATCCAGGTCACTGGTATGACTTGTGCTTCCTGTGTAGCAAACATTGAACGGAATTTAAGACGAGAAGAAGGTAAGACACTCTTGGAGCCTGTTATCTTGTGTATTGATTTGAGGACTCTGTCCTTGTTGTTCTCTTAGGTGTTTCATAACCATTTTTGTGGTTCTTGCCAAGGCCTTAGGAAGTCCTGCATATGAGTAATGTGCAGGACAACCTTGACTTTCTGACAGCCAGTTTTTGTGTTTTGTTTCCAAGTTTCTATCTTGTTTACCTCACGATCACATTTTAATATCAATGAAATTTGTAGGAAAATAGAAGGAAGTATATAAGGTTACTATTCTCTATGGCCTTGGTTGCAATGCATTTTAAGAAACATACAAATTTTCTGATAAAGCTATGCTTAAAACTAATAACCACAGTCCATAAGTTTCAATATTACTGTACCTGGACCAAGAACCAGACCAAAACCAAGTTTGTTTAGAATTATATTATTCTCTTCCAACATTGATCACTGATCTTTGCTTGTAGTAAAAATGTTAAAAAGTTACTCAGTATCGTGTATAAAATTTAACCCTAGGTCACAAAATCTTAGAAAATTTACAGCATACTTTTTTTTTATTCAGTTATACTCAAATGTTTTACCTTGTAAGTTTGCATTCATATTAATAGACTTCACACTGTGACATAATTTGTAACCATAGAGAAATACAGTTATGTTTAATGAGACTGAAATCATAGGTTTGGTACTAGCTCCAGGGTCTTAAATAATACATGCCCTTAGTCACGAGGGCCAAAGAAGTAAGATTAGTATCAGTTTATCCCCTCTATATTGTGTTATTATAACTCAAAGTATATAATAATAATAATACAGCCCTGAGGTCCATAGGCCTTATATATAAAGGCCTTATATATACCATACACAGACACACACATACATACACACATACATACATACATACACACACACATACCTTACCTTATATATACAGGCCAGAAAATTATAACAAAGTGTATGTTATACAGAGCCATCTTCAGTTATTACTTATCTGCATTGTGTCATTTTTGCATGTCATTTCAGTTTCCAATATATCTAATTAGAATGCAGTTGAGGCTGAAGCTTATATTACACTTTGAATGATTAAAAGGGGAAAGGAGGGAGGTTACAAACAAATGAAAGCAAAATAAGTTTGTAAGGTTCCTGTTTAATTTTAGAACCAACTATTTTTTGGCAATTCAGAAATAGCCTTTTTCATGAGACAAGCAATGCCTATGCCAATCATGAATCTTTTTTAAAAAAAATCCATTGTGCTGATTGATCCTTCCAGTTGCTTCCTACTCTCCCCTTTACCACCTCTTTACCCAATTAGGAAAACCACTGGCCCAGCTGGGGTTACTATATTCACTTTTTTAAAAAAAACTAAGTAACACTGGTTGTCTCTTAGTTTTGTTTGCATTATATTTTTAAAAATGAATAGAGTTTTACTTATAGTTTGAAGTAAGAGTTTAAAAAGTTATCCATAATTTATGTAAGTATGAAACCTATTTTTGAGAGTCAAATTTTCCCTTCTATTTCTGTTTGGCTATAGATTACATCCAAATGAAGCAAAAAGATTTTTTCTACTTTCTCTGTACCCTACTTTTATTACTGACGCTTTCCTATGAACTGGTCCTCTGAATTATTTGGTATCCACAAAGCCCAGAATGTAAGCATTTTATATAGAAAACTTAGATTATATAGGTACTTTGTTTTCTTATTAAAAACTCTTATTAAGTTAATGTTCTTTTCTTTTCTTTTTATCCAACCGCAGAGTTAACCTATGAACCGTTGATCCCCATTCCCTGTCAGGTAGCCACCAAGTACCATAGATTACCAGAAAGAGCTGACACTTCTGCTCTGCAGAATTAATTTTCTTCCTGGCAATATCAGCCATAGCTGGCCTAGAGAAGTAGGATGGTTGTTAATAAAAGGCTTGTGCTAGAGAACAGGATGACTGTGACAAAATGAACTCCTTTGTTTTGTTAACAAGCTGGATGGCACTTTTGCCCCCTATGAATAAGAGCACTTTATATTAGTGTGTGCCAGACAGTAAAATTTGATAATTGTAAGAAATGACTATTATTTGATTATGTTATAATGTACATGTTGGTACGTTCTTGGATTCTTTGCTGTAACTGCAGTGATTTCCTTAAGTGCATGAGTTCTTTCTCTAGGTCCCTGTCCTATTAGTTTCTACAAATGCTTTAAAATATTTACACAATAAGTTCTCAACCTATTGCAGTTCATGGGTCTTACTTGGATCCCAATTCAAAAAAACAAACTGTGTTAGGCAAACTAATAAACAATTTTAAGACAATTCTGGAAATATGAATTCTGCCTGGATATTTGGTGATATTGAAGAATTATTTTAGGTGTGGTAATGGTATTATGGGTATTTTTTTAAAGAGAAGAGTCTATCTTTTAGAGATATGTATTTAAATATTTACATATGAAATGATATATTATCTGGGTTTTGCTTCAAAATAATCAGGGTAGAGTGCAGGAAGTAAGAGGATAGGAATATAGATGAAACAAGATCAGCCCCAGTACTAATTTTTTAAAAAGATTTATTTATTTATTTTAGAGAAAGAGAGAAGGAATGGGGGGAAGGGGCAGAAGGAGCGGGAGAGAGAGAATCCTTAAGCAGATTCCCCGCTGAACACGGATCCCAGTTTGGGGCTTGATCCCAGGACCCCTGAGATCTTGACCTGAGCCAAAATCAAGAGTTGGCCGCCTAACCTACTGAGCCATCCAGGCATCCCCAGACCCAGTATTATTGATAATTGTTGAAACTGGGCGATGGTTGTATCAAGTTTATTGTGTTGTTCTCTCTTTTGGGTATATATAATTGAGAATTTCCATAATAAAACATTTAAGAAACTAAGGCCCCCATTCAAATAGTTTTATTTGGTTTGGGTTCAAGACTGTGTAAAAATTAAGTTACAAATTTCTCTAGGTTCACTTTAATCTTTTACAAATGAAAAATAAACTAATAACATTACTCTTTTTATAAGGATATTATCTCAATTGTTTTTCTTATCAATGTTTCTAGGAATATATTCTGTACTTGTGGCTCTGATGGCTGGCAAGGCAGAAGTAAGGTATAATCCTGCTGTTATACAACCCCCAATGATAGCTGAGTTCATCCGAGAGCTCGGATTTGGAGCCACTATGATAGAAAATGCTGATGAAGGAGATGGTGTTTTGGAACTTGTTGTAAGTAATCATTTTTGTGTGATTAATAAAATTTCCAGGAAAAACTTAGGGAGGATTCAGAAAATAGTTCCAAAGATATTTAAGGGTTGGGAAAATAAGACATAAAAGGAAAATTAAGGAAACTGGAAAATAGAAGGATAAGATATGACTTAATGGTGGCGTTTAAGCATGGAATGTAAAAGATAATCATATCTATATTAAGAACCAAAAAAGAAGATTTAGGTTTGAATAAATAAATGAAAATCAACTTTTAAAATATAGTATGATTCCTACCTAGTAGCATAGAAAAAAATAAATTTCAGATGCATTGAAGACTTAAATTTTATAGATGAAGCCATAAAACCAGGTGTAAGGCATATTGGTTTAAAATGGTCATTTTCTCCAATTTAGCAAATTGAGTTTTATTTGTATAACTTAAACAATTAAAACAAAAAACTTAATACTGTACCAAAATTAGTTCCAGCTCAATCAAAAATCTGAATGTAAAAAAACATGAAATTACTAGGAGAAATATTTAGAGCTCTTTTCCCCAGTATTTAATTATAAAAACTTGAGACATGAGGAAAGTCAAAAGAATTGTACAGTGGACACCCTTATACCCACCACCTTGATTCTCCATTAACATTTTAGTGTATTTGTTTTACTATACATAAGTCTGTTAATCCATTGTGTAAATAATTTTAGACCCACAAAGTTGCAAAACTAGTAGAGAATTTCTATGAAGCTTCTACCCAGCTTTTCCCAATAATAACATCTAATCTATCACTTAAAAAATATTAGAGTGGAAATGGCCTTTCTAACTATCATACAAAACCAATAAAAGAAAAGATTGATAAATTCATGTACATAAAAATTTCTTTTTGGAACGGGGCACCTGGGTGGCTCAGTCGTTAAGCGTCTGCCTTCGGCTCGGGTCATGATCCCAGGGTCCTGGGATCAAGCCCCGCATCGGGCTCTCTGCTTGGCAGGAAGCCTGCTTTTCCCTCTCCCACTTCCCCTGCTTGTGTTCCCTCTCTCGCTGTCTCTCTCTCTGTCAAATAAATAAATAAAATCTTTAAAAAAAATTAAAAAAATTCTTCTTTTTGGAAGGAAAACACAATAAACAAAGTCAAAAGACAAGTAGATTGAATTTATTTCTTATCATAGATGAAGGTTAATTTTCTTAATATATGAAGAGATATTATCAATCAATAAGAAAAGAAACAACCCAAAAGAGAGATAGTAAAGGATATGAACTGACAATTCACAGAAAATCCAAAATGTTACCACTTTAAACATAAGAAAAGATGTTCACCCTCACTTTTAATAAGAATAAAGCAAATTAAAACTACATCAAAATGCCATTTTTCACCTATTAGATTGGTAAAGATAATACACAATTTTGTTAACACTGTGTTTGTGATCTCTTATGTATTGCTGGTCGAGAGCCAATTGATACAGGCTCTCAGCAGGGGAATTTGGCAATGTCTATCAAAAGTAAAATTGCACATGCCCTTTGCTTTAGAAGTTCTACTCACAGGAAGTTATCCAACAGACATAGTTGCATATGTATGAAATGACATACTATGTTCATTATAGTATTTATTTTATTTTATTTTTTATTATAGCAAAAGATAAGAAAAAAACCAAAATGTTAATCACTGGGGACTAGATACATAAATTATAATACGTCCATATAGTAGGATACTAAGCAGATTTTAAAAAGAATGGGAGGGTTTTTATTTTTATTTATTTATTTAAACTTTTTTTTAAAGATTTTATTTTTATTTATGTATTTTAAAGATTTTATTTATTTATTTGACACAGAGAGAGAAACAGCTAGAGAGGGAACACAAGCAGGGGGAGCGACA